AACTGTATATTAATGCACATTTGCAATGCCAGCAATGCACAGAAGCATCAGTTTCCCATATATTGCAAATTTTAAAAAAATAAATCTATACCGCCCTTCCAGAGCGATCCCCAATCAGGGCGCTACGGCGCAGCGCACACTCTCAAGCACGTCTATAACCATTGCCCCCCCAAATGTCATTATACTTTCCTACGGGCTGAATGCAAGCTTCGGCTCGAGCAACAGATGTGGGAGAACTCGCGATGTATACGCCAGCACATTCATCCCACGCGGTCGTGCCTTACATAACGCAGATAGGAATTAGAGGAATTTGCTTCCTTGGAAGCGAGTCTCCCACGCATTGCGACGTGAGCAGAGATGGCGGGGTCCGGTGGAGGGGGGGGGTAGGCGAGAGCTAACCTTCGGGGTGAAATCGAGCGCGGCCGACCGGCGCTACACTCGCGTGCTACTTACCTCGACGGTGTGATATTGAACGAAACCGAGTTAGCTTTTGTGCAGCCAGCGTTTTTCTGCGCCGGTTCTCGTTGTGAGCCGCTCAGTGGGAAAGCCGCCCCATCGTTGCTCTAGACCACGCTGTGGTGCGAAGCGCTGGAAAGTTGACAACATGGCGTATAATATTTTGGGACGGCTGCCGAATTCGATATGATATATTTCGACATTTGTTTTGATTTCAATCACATACATATGGCCACCAAATATTTTCCCAGGAGGTTTCTCTTCCTGTTTGTTGATAATGTAATACACTGCCTGCTTATCCACTTAGATGTCCCTCACTTCTGCCTATATATTCTATATAATATATAGGATATATAGGCAGAGTGAGGTATATATATATATATCAGGAGTATTATATATATATACCTATGCGCAAATGCATCTGGGTCACATGTCGTGGGGCATGCATGTGTCTGGGGAGCATGGCAACGCTCAATATCTGCACGGCGTCTCTAATAAAGAAGCCTGATTCCCCTGAAGAATTCGTCTGCGGAGAGTATATATATATATATTTGCGAAAGCAGTGTCAGAGAACACGGATATCACGCGACGTTACAGCTAAATCGATACTGACTAGACATGCACAACCCATTAACTTGTACATATCCACTGCTCATTATACCCGCGGCGTCTGTTTGCAACGGCGAGTTAATGAACAAGCCAGAAACACATCGATATATATATATATATATATAATAGTATAAAG